CTGCCAAATATGGGTGGTCTGTGGGTGTGAAAATTGAGAAGGGGGACGTTCTACCGTACATGTTCATAAACAGCCTGGTTACTAAGTAATGTAATTTTGAAAGTTTCAGTATTTTCTGAATCACTCTGTGTATCATAGAAGGCCGCACTTTCCACTCCAACTTTGGTGCTGAGACAGGCTGGGACCTGGGACCCTTTGTTTGCACCTGGACAAACAGCTTCCATGGCAACAAAATACAAAGAAACTAAAAGAGATCAAAAATAACTGTGCGCATGGGCAGTTGAGGCAAATTATGAACAACTAGATACAAAAAGACCCAAAACACACCCCAACTGCCACTTCTGAAAACCTAGAGCAAAAGCAGAGTGCCTGCTCTCTGCAGACAACATCACCAGAGGCGGGGGAGAAAAACCACCCAAGCCACCCCTCCAGCCAGACCCCTCACCCCATTTAAGGACCCAGCTGGCCCCTGGGCTAACAAGGAAAACTATTACTTGCTTTCACTCTCCCCTGCTGCAGTAGGAGCCCCAGGAAAGCTTTGCCTAAATTTCTTGTCTGAGCTCTGATCAGTTTCTCCTGGTTAAGGAGGCCAAGAACCTTTATCGGCAACACAGCTCCTGTCCCCATCCTTCACACATGTGACTGCATGTGTTTCTCTTTCGATGGGTGCTTCCCCAGGGACAGAATTATGTCTGGGATTCCCTTGGAAGGACATCATCCAGCATTGGGGTTTGTAGGATTAGGATTAGGAATCCTACTCTGGAGTTTGCAGGATTAGGCACTTAGTCTTGAGCTTTTGGAATGTGACAATGGCCTGTTCCTTCTTCTCATCTGTCAGCTCCACCCAGGGAGGCAGAAAGACAAAGCAAATCCTCTTGATGAAGACTTGCCATGGGCTCAGGCTTCAGGGGATCCCTCTTGCCTTTCTCCTTGCTGGGAAAAAAATACAAAGAGTACACACAGGTTAATCCCTGGGCCCTAGAACAAAAGCCTTCCTCATTCCATGGCCATCAAAGACAGCACCAGTCTGGATGGAGGCTCCCTGCGCACAGAGTAGAGCCTGGACTTGGCAGCCTACTAGGGAGGAGGCTGGCTATTGTTGAAGTTACTCATGCTGCTTTGCTTTAGTTTCTCTCACATAGTTGCCTGAACCTTTGTTTTAATCTTATTACAGTCTGGCTTCCCCACCCTGCTCCTCTGGGAAAATATAACTCCCCTAGGCTCCATTATGGGACATGATTCGGGATCACCGAGGAGATTTCATCTGGGAAGTCAATTCTCTAACCATCCAGTGGGTCCCCAATGGCTACGAATGCAACCCTCTCCAGGGTGCGAAAGCAGGGGCAGAGCGCAGAGGACCAGACTTGGGAGGAGGAAAGAGGTACAGTTTAGTCCAGGAGGCAGTCTGAAAATGGTTAGGGGACACAGGCCACCTCCCGCACCCAGACAAAGACAGAGAAAATCAGGGGCAAATGAAATAGGCTCAAACTTGACCTTATAAGGGTAGTGGGACTGGGAAAAGAGGGACAGGAATGGATCTGTCACAGGGTCTCTCCTCTCTGACTACCCCCCTCCACTGAATTTCTTTCTGATCAATTTCTATTGATTAGGAAGGCCCCCTCTACTGTCTCAGGAGCCCTCATCATCTCTCATGAGCCCTGTCAGTGGACCTCACTCAGGGTCAGGGTCTCTGGAATTGGTTCCCAGGACATAATATAGTAGTTTAATATAATATATTAGAATATATATATATATACACATATATATATATATATGTATATATATAGCATGCTGCTGCTGCTGCTGCTAAGTCGCTTCAGTCGTGTCCGACTCTGTGCGATCCCATAGATGGCAGCCCACCAGGCTCCCCCATCTCTGGGATTCTCCAGGCAAGAACACTGGAGTGGGTTGCCATTTCCTTCTCCAGTGCGTGAAAGTGAAAAGTGAAAGTGAAGTCGCTCAGTCGTGTCTGACTCTTCCCGACCCCATGGACTGTAGCCCACCAGGCTCCTCCATCCATGGGATTTTCCAGGCAAGAGTACTTGAGTGGGGTGCCATTTCCTTCTCTGATATATAGTATATTAGATATATATGTTCTAATTTGATATATATATATGCATCAAATTAGAATATATATATATATATAAATGACTTTTACATCTACCGGTAGGAGATATATTTGTGTCAGAAAAGGAAAGAAGCACTACGCTTTACATTGCTCATGCTATCTAGCACACAGGCCAAAATTCACATTGGATAATATGTTGAAGTTAAATCATCCTCTGATAGGCCCCTTACTAATGTGGCACAAACCGGCAATGCTGGTTGCATTTTCTCCCCCTTCATAGACAAATACAGGCTGCTCCTGTGTTCAGTTCTTGAAGTGAATGTGAGGTTCCTTCTGCAATTGAATTATATACTTCATTTGAGGGTGAGTCTGCTCCCACCCTGGAAAAGACACACATGTAGTCCTGAAAGAGGAATAGATCTGATCACCTATGCTGGTTAATAGAAGCCTGTTCCGGTGTGCACAGCCCAGACAAGGACCCAGCAGAGGGTGGCGCAGGGGAACTTGACTCCACAGGAAGGACAGGACAGCCTGCCAGGCTTCTTCCAAGGACTCGGATTCTCCCTCCCTCTGACCACGGGTTTTCTTCCAGCCCCTTGGGCAGGGGGCCTCATCCACTCTGGAGTAGAACTTTCCTCTGACTGCGGCAGTGAGTGCCAGCAAGCTTGCAAGTCATACTTCTGATCTCATGCCTCTGCATGGCCTCTGGCAACACTCAGCAAACTTTTATCTGTGGCTTTTTGTCCTTATTAATATGGTACAAACCCGGCAATGCTGATTGCATTTTCTTCCCCTTCCTAGACACTTACAGGCTGCTTCTGTGTTCAGTTCTTAAAGCTTCTTGTGGATCCCTGAACACACCAAGCTTCTTCATACTTCCATTATAATGATGATTTTAGCTCATCTTCATTGAGAACTTATGTGCATACAGAATGCAAAGACCTTTACATGAATTATTTCACATAATCCTCACAGCACTGTGAGATAGGTACTATTTTCATCCCCAGTTTACATCTCTAAAAATGAGTAATTTGCATAAAGATGCACAGGAGCCTGTGAGCCTAAGTACCTTGCTTGTCTCAAGAGCTCTTGCTCTTAGCCAGGGGTTGGCAAATTTTTCTTTAAAGAGTCATCTAATATATCTTTTAAGCTTTGCTGGTCATATACCATTCTGCTGCAACCAGTACTCAACTCTCCTATTACAATGTGAAAGCAGAAACAGACATGGGACATTGACATAGACAACAGGGCATTGGAAAAACAGGATGATGCTCCAACTTGACTTGCTAGCCCTTCCTACCCCTCCCGGCCTCATCCATGCCAAGTCTAAAGACTCTATCCCAAGAAAGTAGCTCAGAACACTATGCCATGGGAAGGAAAGCTTCTTTCTTAGAATTGGGTGGAAGAATACTTCCCGGTAAGGCATTGTGCAACCAGGGTGGAGGAAGAGGAGCTGCTTCCGTGGCCTTGAGAAGGTATCTCTTTCCTGCCAGACACTGAATAAGCACTTCTTTGGGTAGGGAATGCCCTGCTCCCCTGAAAACTGCCTCCATAACACTGGAGAGATTGAATTGTTTATAAAATAGTCACAAGAGCTTTTCTCAGGCTCATCTCAGTGTGAGAGTCTGTCTTTCCTCCCCTGGCTGCCCATTTAGCCAGATAGTCTTATAAAACACCCTGTCTACAATTGCTTTTAATACTCTTCATGGTACTTAATTTATGGACTAAAACAATGAATCTCCTTCCCCCTAAATCAAACACCATGATCACTTGACAGCCTTCCCTCCTTCTAAGAATGTGTCTGGAGATTTGAGATTTCAAGCACTGAAATTAGGAATATAAACTTGGAAGTTACTTGTGACATCATCACACCTGTAAAGACACATTTTTATGATTCACTGTTTCTATATGCCCCTCAACTTTCTGTACACACCCCATTAAGGTGTCTGATCTTGACTCCTAAGAAATATCAGAATCTGAGAATATAAATTCAGTCAATTCCCTTAATTATTTTTGTCCTACTCATTTTAGATTCTTAAAATTAAGCCCTAAGTGAACATTCAAAAAAAGTGGAAAAAGGGTGCCTGTGAATTCCATTTGGTAGAGAAAAAAATGTACACAGTCACTAGCTCAATGGGAAAGCAAACACTGGGGAGGAAGGTGCAGGCATGAGTAGAAACCGTAAGTCAGCTCTTTGGGCAGGGTGGACTTGGGTGATCTCTTATCCTATATCATGAAACTGCCAATTCCACACAAGACAAGTTTGTTCTTATGCTGTAAAAACTCATCTCCTTTGTGCCTCTTGCCTTTCAAAGGAAGGTCATATCCCCAAAGTAGCCCCCAATTCCCAGGCCAGGCCACCAGGAAGGCAACCAGGAGAACCAGAAGGACATGTTCAAACACGGCCAAAAGCTACCGCAAGCCACTTCTTGCTCAGACCACAGGGCAAATACCTATTAGCCCTCAGAGATAGTTCAACCTGATGGGAAGGGTGGTGTGAGTGGAGGAGAAAACCTGTGTGGGAAGGGGGCACAGAGAAGAGTGTCTGAGTAAGCAGAAGGAGGGGACAATTATCACAGATCAGCTCCTTGTCTCCTTTGTTTAAGAATATGACTAACCCATGACTTCAGTGAATTTACATCCAGTGGTATTGTGTTGGGATCAAGTCAAGGCTAGAAGCCAGAAGAATTTCTCCATGACTAAAGGAAGCCAAAGAAGCAATATTCATACTTCATACCTTTCTAGAGGCAGGGGGTGATCTCACTATTTGTAAAGCCCAGCCCTTCCCAATCTGCAGGCTCACCTTCCAGGACTAAGCCCGGCCCATTTTTTCCATATATAAGCTGCTGCTGGGAAGCTCCTCTCATAGATCTGCTCCTCTCAGCTCTGCCCTCCACCTCTCATACCCTTCTCAACCTATTCTTCAGGAACCATGTCTTACAAATCCACCGTGAAAACCCAAAGCAGCAGCCGCAGGGGCTTCAGTGCCGGCTCAGCCAGAGTCCCTGGGGTCTGCCGCTCTGGCTTCAGCAGCGTGTCCCTGTCCCGCTCCAGGGGCAGTGGCGGCCTCGCTGGAGTGTGTGGAGGAGCTGGCTTTGGCAGCCGCAGCCTCTATGGCCTGGGGGGCTCCAAGAGGATCTCCATCGCAGGGGGCAGCTGTGCCATCGGTGGCGGATATGGCGGCAGAATTGGAGTTGGCTATGGCTTTGGAGGTGGAGCCGGGAGTGGATTTGGTTTCGGTGCTGGGGCTGGTAGTGGCTTTGGGCTTGGTGGTGGAGCTGGCCTTGGAGGTGGCTTCGGTGGTGCTGGCTTCCCTGTGTGCCCCCCTGGAGGCATCCAAGAGGTGACCATCAACCAGAGTCTCCTGACTCCCCTCAACCTGCAAATCGACCCCACCATCCAGCGGGTGAGGACTGAGGAGCGGGAGCAGATCAAGACCCTCAACAACAAGTTTGCCTCCTTCATCGACAAGGTGAGCCGGGAGCACCTGCCCCCAGTGGGGATTGCAGAGTGCCCAAGAGAGACCCAACCAGTGTCCTACCAGAGGGAGCCTTGAGATATTCAAGAGAGAGGGGACTCAGGCTAGTTCTCCACTGGGATGCAGGGCAGGCTTCATGTGGACCACAGGCTGAAGGTGATGGTAACCGTTTACAACTACTGACCCCTTAAATGTCTTCCATAATCGTGAGGGAAGCATTCACAATTCTTGATAACCCTGAAGCAAAGAAATGAAATGAAAGAATGGAAAGAGTTATCTTGATCTGTTGAACAGTGTAAGAAATTAAAAAAGGAATTACAGTGGAAAATGTACGTCAGCCTTAGTTGAGCTGGTGGGTGTAGAGGCAGAAGGAAAGAAAATGTAAAAAAAAAAAAAAAAGGAAATTCCAGGGGGGAAAAGGACTCAAAAATATGTGAATACCCATAGAAATACTCAACCTGTAGAACCAGATCATAACCACTGAGAGAGTTTGTTTTAGAGGGACTCATACTCTAAATAGGAAACAGAATTAACTCCAATTATTAATAGGATTGGAATTTAATCATTAGATTGTGGACATTTAAACATCCCTTTAACTGAGATATGCTCTTTAAAAACCTCTGTGCAATATATGAGAGAAATATGATTTTTAAATTACATCTGTGATTGTGCTTATCAAAAAAACCCCAGAAAGGTGAAAAGTCACTGACAGATGTCTCCAGAATTGAAAGGGAGGGAACATCTGACAGCTCACTGGGGAAACGGCCATGAGACCTGTGTCGTGTGAAGCTAAAAAGTCAGGGGACCAGAACTGTCAGCTGGAGCCTCTGTACAGACTCTGGAGCATCCCAGCACCACCAGACCACCAGACTGGCCTGGGGACTTGTCAACTCACAGATAACCATCTTGTCTTCCTGCAGGTCCGATTCCTGGAGCAGCAGAACAAGGTCCTGGACACCAAGTGGACCCTGCTGCAGGAACAGGGCACCAAGACCGTGAGGCAGAACCTGGAGCCTTTGTTTGAGCAGTACATCAACAACCTCAGGAGGCAGCTGGATAGTATCATTGGGGAGAGAGGCCGCCTGGACTCGGAGCTCAGGGGGATGCAGGACACGGTGGAGGACTTCAAGAACAAGTGAGTTACAGGAGACAAAAAGGCTCAGTTTCCTGAAGCCCACATTTCAAGCTAATTATATGATCAGGTTCAAATGAGGGCATGATCTCAGTAAAACATGTCCATGAAAATGAAACCACAATTCTTACCTAAACACAAACTCTGGAAAACATAGGGCCATGCAGGTAGATGGGGAGAGTAGTGGAGTAAATAATATAGTGACCACAAAATTCACCTTTGAAGCTTACTGGCAGGAAAGTCCCATTTGCATACATCCATTCTGGGAAGTTGAAATTCCATGCTGCCTTTTCTGTATCATCTTCACCCCTGACTCAATTAGATTTTATCCTTTCTAATTCCAGATATGAAGATGAAATCAACAAGCGCACGGCAGCAGAGAATGAGTTTGTGAATCTGAAGAAGGTGAGATGAGTCAGATCAGGGGTTCAGGTTTCTTTGATGAAAGGGAGGACTCTGAGAAAAGTGTAATCAGGGAGAATAAAAGAGAAGACTGGGCAGGAGGGCCTATCTGATCCCAGCCTGTTGACTTCTTCCCCAGGATGTGGATGCTGCTTACATGAACAAGGTTGAACTACAGGCCAAGGTAGACGCTCTCACAGATGAGATCAACTTCCTAAGAACCTTCTATGAGGCAGTAAGCATCTTTTCACATTCTGCTTTATTGATTATACTGAGATTTGCAAAGGGTGGAAAATCTCTGGCTGGGTACACCCCTCTAAATGGCATGACCAAAGATGATCGGATGATCTCTTGTTCTGCAGGAACTGGCTCAGATGCAAACCCACATCTCAGACACTTCGGTGGTCCTCTCCATGGACAACAACCGCAACCTGGACCTGGACAGCATCATCGCTGAAGTCAAAGCCCAGTATGAGGAGATCGCTCAGAGGAGCCGGGCTGAGGCTGAGTCCTGGTACCAGTCCAAGGTGAGCGGTGAGGTGGCAGCTTGATGAAGAATCCCTGTGACTCCTCTGAGAACATCAATGTGGCTATAGACTTCAGTGGGGAAACTACAACTAAGAAGTGGGGGACCTCTCAAAAGGCATGTACCCTGAACTAACAGGGTAGATCTTTTGGGTAATTATGTCCAAGTATAGTAGGTCAAAGACCCAAATGTAGGACAAAAACTACTGTAGATAAAGGCAGAGTGATCTTTGCTTTAGAGTTACCCTGATGCTGGTTCTCAGCAACATTGCTTTTCCTGAAAAGAACCAGTCAGTCAGTGGTCCTACCAAGGATGGTATGTAATGGGTACAGTGTCAATGACCTAGTAACACCAATTTTCATATAATGTCTTGTGGAGAAACCATTAGTTTTGATTTGAGAAAACCTTGATTAGTGTCCTGTGAAGCCCATGGGCACCACTTTGTCTCCCTCTGATTTATAGTACGAGGAGCTTCAGGTGACGGCGGGCAGACACGGGGATGATCTGCGCAACACCAAGCAGGAGATCTCTGAGATCAACCGCGTGATCCAGAGGCTGAGATCTGAGATCGACCACGTCAAGAAGCAGGTATGGAGGGGTCCATAGAGCATAAAAGCATTGTTTCCTTCCTAGCCCATCAGGTATCATCAACCATCATGTGGGAAATTTCTGGGCCCTGAGGGAAAAGCAAGAAGAGCTCCCTCAGGTTAGAGATACGGAGTCCAACTTACAAGCGGGAAACAGACTCAGGACAGACCAATTCCCACTGGTCAGTGGGACAAAGGCACAGTCTAGAGGCATTAAAATGAGATTCTATCAGGGGAATGGTTGATTTGGGAATACAAGACACACGTGGGCAAAGAAAATTTCAGGTCAGAAAGTGTGAGGAAGACTGCTGCAAATATGTTCAGATTCAGTATGAAAAAGAAGCTGAGAAAAGACACAGGACAAATGAGGGTTAGCCAAGACTGTAAAGTGGAAGGAAGGCAAGGTCTCAAGAGTTCGAGATGAAATCATCTTTCAGTGAGAATGTTTGTGGTTTTGTATAAGTTATTATATATCCACACAAACTTACCCAAACTGTCAACATTCAAAACAAGGCAGCAGTTCCATTTCTCTCCACTTACCCTGGCTTTAGTCTGCTGTGGCATCTCCCAACCCCATCCTCACTTGTGTGGTTAACACAGAGGGGAATAGGTTTTCATTAGGGACACTGAGACTAGTTAAGGTTTGTAGTTTGGAGAAAGATTGGACAAATGAGAATCAAACCTCCATTTCCATGAGATCTGGGCTCTAGAGCTCTTCCTCACTGGGAAAGTAGAACGATGCTTCCTCTCCCCTGGAGCCCAGACTCAGGTTCATCTGCCCCTCCTCCCCTCCAGTGCACCAGCCTGCAATCCGCCATCGCCGACGCTGAGCAGCGCGGGGAGCTGGCCCTCAAGGACGCCAGGGGCAAGCTGACTGACCTGGAGGACGCCCTGCAGAAGGCCAAGCAGGACATGGCCCGGCTGCTGAAGGAGTACCAGGAGCTCATGAATGTCAAGCTGGCCCTGGACGTGGAGATTGCCACCTATAGGAAGCTGCTGGAGGGTGAGGAGTGCAGGTGAGCAACTCACACAGCCTCCTCAATCATCTGGCTCCATCTCCAAGGAGTCCTGCCAATGCGCCCACGTGGAAGGCACTCTAGTGCTGGTCACAGTGCCACTCCCAGAAGAGCCCTGAGAAGGCAGGCTCCTGGGGAGTCTCCTCTCACGGAGGTTTCCCGTGCGGGCCCAGCTGTGGCTCTGGGCCTCATCATGGCTGTGTCTTCTCTCTCCTAGGCTGAGTGGGGAAGGCGTTGGACAAGTCAACATCTGTAAGTACTTCACCTGCCCCCGGCCCTTGCCCTTGCGTCCCCCTGACTGGACTCTGTGTGGCAGAGTGAGCTCCCCATCTTGTCCTGACCTCGCCCCCTTGCCTCCACAGCCGTGGTGCAGTCCACCGTCTCTGGTGGCTATGGCGGTGCCGGCGGCTATGGCGGTGCCAGCGGTCTCGGCGGTGGCTTAGGCGTGGGCGGAGGAAGTGGCTACTCCTACAGCGGCGGCCACAGCCTTGGAGGTGGCTTCAGTGCTGGCAGTGGCAGAGCCATCGGGGGTGGCTTCGGCTCCTCTGGGGGCAGCAGTTCCACCATCAAGTACACCACCACCTCCTCCTCCTCCAGCAGGAAGAGCTACAAGCACTGAAGTCCTGTCATGGGCTCAAGCTCCCACAATGTCTCAGCCTCCCTCTCCAGCTTCACCACCGTCTCCTCTAATTATTTCCTCTCTTCTGCTCCCTTCATCTCTTACTCCTTGAGTTAGAACTGAAGTTGCTGAGTGCCCTCATCTTCTCTCTCCCAAAACCTGTGACCCATGAGGTTCCATTGTACAGCACTGGAAGGTCACCGCTTGTGTCCTACTCCGTAACAGGGCAATCCCACTTGCTTTTCACTGAACCAGGAGGTCCCATCTCAGAGGTGCTGTGTTCCTCCCTTCCAGTGATCATTAAAGTACAAATGACTGGTTCTTTGATGTACAGGGTTTGTATCCCTGTGTTGCTTCCTCTGCTCTTCTCTCTCTTGTATTGCTAAATAAAGCAGATTTATAATATAATGTGTGGTTTCATGTAGCCTTTCTTTGTCACCAGTGGTTCTTGAGGTTTTCATCTGATAAATGCCTTCTCAGGAATGAAGCATATGCCCAGCCTCCATGTGCTTCACTCTCCTTATTTGGATAAATTCAATAAACAGCAGTTTAGCATCCTGATGCTCAGCAGTCCTCCCATAACACTTTGGCATGTGGAGTGGGAAGGATCTGGTTCCATCATCATAGTAAAGTCTGGTTTTACTGCTCAGATCAGGCCTCAGCAGTTTAGTTTCTCTGACTTTCTTTATGATTCTACCTCCTTCTGCATCTGTTGTCATTCATCATCCTCAGAGAATCATATTACAGTCTAATTAGATCAGAAGAACATTGACTAGAGGGCAAGATGTTTGATATATTCTAAAATGCCTCATGACCAAGAAACTGTGCCTGACAGCATGTATCAGGAGTAACTTAAATTCCCACATTCCTGAATTGAAGGTACTCTTCTAGCAATGTATCCTGAGGAAACAGTACAAATACAAGAACTTGTACTTCCTGGATATGAATCCCAATAAACTTTCTACCAGGAAACATTGGAAACACTGGTCAATTTCAGGATCCACAGACTCAGAAACAAAATGCAGGCGCTAACTTTTTAAAGTGTGGAGACAAAAGAGGAATGGGAAAGCCTTCTTCCTCACCCCAAAAGCCTCTCACAGAGACTCAAAGAAGTCGAGTCTTTGCTGCTCCAAAGACACGGTCTTGAAACCTCTCTCAGCTGTGTCTTGGCTTCCTCTGACTTCTATGAATGGGAAAGGAAATGTCAGGATACAGTGCAAGGTAGATCAGTCATCTTCTTCCTGAGAGCCAGTCACTGTTTTGTCTATGTCCCGAATTCCAGATTTATACCTCTGGAGCATTCCACTTAATACCTTAAGGAATTAAAGTTCCCTTCTGAAGAATCAAGGAGATACAGGAGATTTTAGAAATCAAGGAGATTCTAGGAGATTGTGGTGAAATATATACAAAGATGATCTTGGAGCATCTTTTAGTGCCAAAAAGGGAAGAAATAGTCAAAAAAGACACTGTAAGAACTCTTAGTAGCCAAAGTGGAACAACTTGAGCCATAAATAAATAGATAGAACATGATGTATTGGAATAAAACACAAATTGTGAAATAATTATTCATGGAAACTACTGATGTGAATGTGGTTGACTAAATTAATTAATAAGGGATGATTGTCAAGTCTCAGGCAAAAGAATTTCCTTTAGTTACATATGTGGGTCCCATTCAAAGAAGGAGTGAATAAATACTCCCTGCTGTGTGGGCTGGGCATGGTGAACTCCTTCCAAAGAGTACAGTCTAAAAATGGGGGGAAAGAGTGACTTTACTGCAGAGAAATCAATCAAACACTTCCTCGGCCAGGTAATCAAGGCTAATACCAACAGCAGTAAGTTTTTTTCATAGCATGTATCCTGATATGATTTGATGAGAAGTGCAGGACATCTCTGTGGTTTTCCTCCCAAACACCATAACTCCAGTCTATTCATGAGACAACATCAGAAAAAGCTTAATTTTGGACATCTACAAAACACCTGGGCAGAGTTCCTCAAAGCTTTCTAGGTCATGAAGACAAGAAAAATCTAACAAAGTGTGTTAGCCAAAGAAGGTCTAAGGAGACACATGACTAAATGAAAAGTAGCAATTATGAAAAATACTTAAGCTATGGGGCTCAAGGTATCATCTGTATTTTTTACTAAACTAATTTTCACACAAAGTCATAAAGCAAGAAAGGTAAAGAAAGAGTCACAAAGAAACAGAAAGACAGTTGAAGGGACAAAGATACAGAGAAATTATTGAATGACTTATGTAAAAATAATATTGATAATCTTGTGTTGATTTTAACTCCATTACTGCATTTTTAAAAGTTGTGTACTTTCTAAATTTTCTGAGGTTGAACCTTGTTATTTCAAAAGAGGAAGTGTATTCCCCATGATGTCCTCATCCTATGACATCTGAGATTAAATGTGGTTACACTTTCTGGTATTAAGGAAGAAAAGATTCAATCTCTTGATTAAGGTGCATGAAATCAAAATTTTCAGACTGATTTCTTTTGCCCACTGAGGACTGAATAAGAAGAAACATATTTCTTTTGAAAGAGCAAAGACTTGTTTTTGAAGCAAGGAAAGAATCAGTAGTACCAAAGGTGGTTAGATACTGGATTTGACTCCTAAGGAGGCTAGCTAATTGCCTCCTTCAATATCGGGTCTGTACACCTGGAAAATACAGAAAATACTTATTTTAAATAACAACCTGAAATAGAATAATTTTTTCCAGTTAGAAGCTATATCCAAAATTCACCTTATCTGAATCCTCTGTGATCCAGGATGATCACTTGCAAGCCATACAAGGTAGATTCTAGTTATGTTAGTTAGAATCCCCAGCACAGATTAATAAATAACATCACAGCTCATGGTGGGGGCAGAGGGTTCAGCACAGCAGGAGGAGGGAACATTTCTACAGGTCCTGATTTCTCTGCCTATTGGATGTGATGGAATTCCAGTTGAGCTATTTCAAATCCTGAAAGATGATGCTGTGAAAGTGCTGCACTCAATATGCCAGCAAATTTGGAAAACTCAGCAGTGGCCACAGGACTGGAAAAGGTCAGTTTTCATTCCAATCCCTAAGAAAGGCAATCCCAAAGAATGCTCAAACTACCGCACAATTGCACTCATCTCACACGCTAGTAAAGTAATGCTCAAAATTCTCCAAGCCAGGCTTCAGCAATACGTGAACCAAGAACTTCCAGATGTTCAAGCTGGTTTTAGAAAAGGCAGAGGAACCAGAGATCAAATTGCCAATATCCGCTGGATCATCGATAAAGCAAGAGAGTTCCAGAAAAACATCTATTTTTGCTTTATTGACTACGCCAAAGCCTTCGACTGTGTGGATCACAATAAACTGGAAAATTCTGAAAGAGATGGGAATACCAGACCACCTGACCTGCTTCTTGAGAAACCTGTATGCAAGTCAGGAAGCAACAGTTAGAACTGGACATGGAACAACAGACTGGTTCCAAATAGGAAAAGGAGTACGTCAAGGCTGTATATTGTCACACTTCTTATTTAACTTATATGCAGAGTACATCATGAGAAATGCTGGGCTGGATGAAGCACAAGCTGGAATCAAGATTGCTGGGAGAAATATCAATAACCTCAGATATGCAGATGATACCACCCTTATGGCAGAAAGTGAAGAGGAACTAAGAAGGCTCTTGATGAATGTGAAAGAGGAGAGTGAAAAAGTTGGCTTAAAGCTTAACATTCATAAAATTAAGATCATGGCATCTGGTCCCATCACCTCATGGGAAATAGATGGGGAGACAGTGGAAACAGTGTTAGACTTTATTTTGGGGGGCTCCAAAATCACTGCAGATGGTGACTGCAGTCATGAAATTAAAAGACGCTTACTCCTTGGAAGGAAAGTCATGACCAACCTAGATAGTATATTAAAAAGCAGAGACAAAATTCTGTTCTGTACATCTGTGTCTCTTTTTCTGTTTTGCATATAGGGTTATCATTACCATCTTTCTAAATTCCATATATATGTGTTAGTATGCTGTAATGTTCTTTATCTTTCTGGCTTACTTCACTCTGTATAATAGGCTCCAGTTTCATCCATCTCATTAGAACTGATTCAAATGAATTCTTTTTAATGGCTGAGTAATATTCCATGGTGTATATGTACCACAGCTTCCTTATCCATTCATCTGCTGATGGGCATCTAGGTTGCTTCCATGTCCTGGCTATTATAAACAGTGCTGTGATGAACATTGGGGTGCATGTGTCTCTTTCAGATCTGGTTTCGTAAAGTAATTAGCCTCCAACTAATAAAAATAAATGAAGAAAAAAAATAAAATAAAAAGCAGAGATAAGACATTACTTTGCCAACAAAGGTCCGTTTGGTCAAGGCTATGGTTTTTCCAGTGGTCATGTATGG